TTTTTCAAACTTAGCTCTAAAATTTAGATACTTTAAGTTGTTTATCCTCAAAATTCAAATCAAATGATCGAGCATATTTCTTATTTGTAGATTAACAATTTAGTTTGTAGTTTGATAAATTCTTTAAAATCATAAATATATCTCATACAATTTATATTAATAAACTTTTTAAGCATTTTCACTATTTTGTCAAACAATGCACTTTTGCACTTAAATCTCTCTTATTTTAACTTTGTAATGATGTTTAAGAGTATCAAATGAATTTTTGTAAATATAAACATCTTAAATATTTAGTTATATATTAAAGTCAAACTACAGCCCAATATAATCTGGCAATTGTTTGGCTTGAATTTTTTAATTTTAAATTCTATGGTATGGCCATTATTATTATTCTCCATAAAATAGGATTAATTATTAAATAGTTATAAATATTAATTGTAATTTCTTCTCTTAATTCTTTAATTGAGTAAACTGCTGCATAATATTTATTGCAAAAAATTTTCTAGAACTGGCGGATGCTTTGGCGAATCCCATTGCCTATCAGTCTATGGTGGAAAAGCACGCCTCGCAGTTGATGGCCTTGACCGACGATGATGATGAAGTAAGTCGTTTTTGTCATGCAAGATCTCACTTGAGATAATTTAATAACATTTTATGTTTTTATGTAAAAAAATTATTATTTTAAAAACAGAGTTCGGTTGACCCAAAGCCGCGAAAGTCCATTGCTTTTGATGCTGGAGGTTCCATCGACAAGAGTCGTGCCAGCATTAGCAGAGAGGAGCCGATCGACCTGGTCGGAACGGCGGGCAGGCACTCTTCCATGAATGGCGGCACCCAGAGACCAAGCGTGACCGGAAACTCTTCACCCGTGTCTCCTGCGCAAAAACCGTCTGATCTTCACGGCACCAGTAAGTTTGAATTTATTTATACTATATGTTTAAAGAATGTTTGCAAAAAATTTCTGCATTAGAAACCCAAATTTGTTTAACTTTGTTGTCTGTTTATTATTGTATTATTAATGAGGTGTTTTCATTTAAGGTACATTTCACATACAAGTAACCCCCGTATAACACGGGAGTTACGTTCCAGAAAATTGCCATGTTATGCGAATCCATGTTATACAAAACAAAGAACTAGTGCAAAAAGGAGGGTTAGGTTCCAAAAATTAAAAAACAAGTTGTTAAATCCTTATTTAAATCGGATTTATTATTCTTTTTTTTTCATAGGTAAAATACTTATTTATTATTTAAGTAAATATTTTACCAGAGGATTATTCATTTTACATGATGATCTCAGCATGAGCATCATCAACCGGTAACAGTTTGTGGGTGCATTCATTAATAGCGGTCGCTCTGCAACGGGAGTGCGCTGCTGTTTGTAGGCATTTAGGAATGATGGTGAAAGAAAGATGGCGGCGCCCGCACTATCGATAGTATCGTTTGGAGGAATCTATAATTCTAAAATGAGCTTTTAGAGGCAAAAGAAGGGTCCCAATTGTATAATTTAACCATTAAACGGATTATTTGTTGAAAGAGCATTCAAAGTAGCCACAAAAACAATTAGAATGCTCATGTCGAGTTACACGGAGGTATAAAAGAACGCACCATTTATTACATTTTATGTTTTACGAGGGTTTTACCCAATTCCCGAACCGTGTTAGAGTGAACCCGTGCTATAAAAACACCATGTTATATGGGGGATGTTCCCAATTCTTGAACCGTATTAGAGTGAATCCATGCTATAGAAGTGTCATGTTAAACGGGGGTTACCTGTACATTAAACCACCTATTAGTAATGTGAAATTTTTTGTATAGTTAAATTAATGAACAGAATGGCAGACGACATTTCATGCATTTTGTCAAACGTAACAAAACTTGTAGGATTAATAATTGCTGTCATTTGCTAGTAATTTTTCATTGTGAATTTTATATAAGTATGTATTTGCATAGATTACATTTATATCATAAATTATTGGTACTTTCAATTGTTGTCGGGCTGAAGTTCACATGTTAAAATTTTATTCTGTCAACTCTATTCTCGTCAAAATTGGCTTGTTGGTAATGAGCGAAACTCGGGCCTACATGGCACTTCTTAATAAATGAAATGCACTTGGTGATGAAATGAAAGTATAACTTGCAAAAGTAGAAGAAATTTGGCAACATCTTAAATGACCAGCCTTGCTTGTTGCACAGTGTGTGACTTTTGCTAATACTCAAAAGTTCTGCTTTCATTTAATTAATTTGTAGGTTTGGATAATTTTCAATTTAGTTATCCTATTAAACCATTTATAAGTTAAAAGATATTGTGAAATTGTTTCCTCTTCCTTTATAGAAGTTATTACGTTGTCGGACAGCAGACAAATACTTTAAACATATATATTTTAAACAATTACATATTAAGTTTAGTTTTCCTGTCCTAATATTATTTAATACAATTTTTAGTCTACTAATGGATTATTATTATTCTGGACTTAATATAATTCAGTAATGAAGACAAATAAATTAACTTGCAGAAACTACTTTATCTTCTAATGTGCATTTCGAGTCTTCCATAATTTTTCTTTGACTGGAATTTACATAAAAGTATGCCAAGGCCTGTCATCCATACCAATGTGCTTATTAAATCTACTTTCATTACTGACACTTCACCAAACCAAAACAATAAAATTTTTAAAACTTTAACTAAAAACCACACACCTGAAGACATTACAATCAGGTTTTTACCCCAATGTAAAACCATGAAAGCATATAAATACTTTAATTTAGACAATCATTATTACATAATTTCCCAAATCCAAAACATACCTTCCTTGTTTCTAACCTGTTTTCTAACTAAAATGCACATCTACACAAATGTCTGACCTGTATTTTGGGTTGGTGTATTTTTAACACCTCATTTTCACTCATTCTTATCTTCACTTACTTTTTAAATTTAAATATGCTTAAATAACTTTCTTTTATGCAGATTTTCTTTCCTAAGTAATGTCCTCAAAGTATTCAAAGCTGTCTCGCACCCATTTCTATTACAAAGCTTGCAAACTGTTGACATTTTCTGATTTTTTTACAATTGCTCTAATATGTTCTGAAATCCATTCTTTTAATACTCTCTCAGTCTTCCTGTATATGATTTTGGCTACTTATGACTACAATTAAAGGAGGACACTACTCTTGTATTTGTTAAGTCTTGATGTTCTAACCAAGGACTCGATAAGTATCGAACACTCTTATTCTTAAATGTCTGAACTAATTCTATTATAAATTCTCTTATTACTTTATTTAGTTTTTATTTTTTTGAAAATATTAAGTACGTATGGAAAAGGTATATACCTTATCAGTGGTTGTTTTGCATCTAATTTCTTCTAACCATTTTTGCAAAAGTCTCTGATACCCTGCCAATGTAAATGTGGTCGAAACTTCCTTCATTTCTTTCAATTGTCTTTCTTTGGATTTTGTTCTATATAAAATCTTCCTAATATACATATTAAAAGTATTTCTTTTTTTATACAATGGAATGCACAAGAAACTAGCCACTTTTGGAACAACATTTTTTATAAAACTTTTCCACCGTTAGAATTTTCCCCACCTTCAACAACACATTCAAGAGAGGCAAAGACCCCTTTTCTACTTCTGACTCAAAAGAGAAATCCTTGTTTAATTAAGTCCATAGTAATAATAGTCTATCAGTAGACTTAAAAGGATATTAAATCATATAATATATTCAAGAAAATACTGTAGGATTTCTTTTATGTTTCTGCATGACATTTTAAAAAGTTTTTGTAATTATTTCGATATTTAACTAATAGAAAAATTGAATCTATCAGCAAGAAGTTTCTCCGAGGATATTCCTCAAGAGAAGCCAGCGTCATTACTAGGTAAATTGTCAGAACTATTTCAAAGTTAATTTTATTTTCATAAGACTGATTAGTGATACGTTAGTTTTTGTATTTAGATACGTTCGACTTAAATGTCACTGCGGAAACAATAGATCAAATCAAGGAACACAAACTAGTGAAGAAAGTTCTGGCCAAATTGGACAGGGATCTACAGTTGCTGAGGAAAAAGCACGATAAGGTTTGTATATTTTTGTGAAATTTTTTGTAATATTTGCAACGAGAATAAAGGTTTAATAATAATTGCAGTTGACGGACAAAGAAAAGGAGCTGCAACAAGTAAAGGAGGATAAATTAGCCAAATTACAAGAACAACATAAAACTCAATTAGTAAAAACACACAATAAACTAGCAAAGAAGAGTTCATCTAGTGAAATGTAAGTTTCTTTTAAAATTACAATTTGTGAAAATGTGAAGTTGGATAATTTTTGTTTTGTTTTTAAATATAAAGGCAAATAATAAAGCGAAAAAGTGAAGCGGGCTTACTTGCCATGTCTGCGGAACATCAGATAAAAGTAAATCTCCTCACTCGTCGATCCTCTCTCAAACGTATTTCATGATTATTTAATTTTTGGATTTATTTTTAGTTGGAAGGACTGCAGAGGTCTTACAACCAGAATGTCTTGTCATTAAAAAAGGAACTCTATAAAGCCGAATTAGAACTTCAAGAAAAATATCATGAGCCGGTGAGTTTTAATTTATGGTTTCCGTGATTTAGAATGATAATGCGAATGCAAATTTAACAGTTTGTACCTTTTTGATATTTAGTTGTACAGTGCCATAGAAAAGGCAATGCAACTATCGCAGGCTGCACAGTTCGAACAACTTCAGAGTTTGCACGACAAGTATTGTATTTCTTTTTTTTTTTTTAACCTGACATTATTGTTTTAATAAGTGTATGTTAACCATTTATATCTATATTTATGTATAGAGTGGTTAACGATTTAAAAAAAAGAATGGAAAACCAAACTAAAGAGCAAATGTTAACCTTAAGTAAAAAACACAAAGATAAAAATGAACTCGCAAGGTAAAAATGTTTTTCAATCTTTAATACTTATTGTGAAATATTATCTGACAAATTTTTATATATATTTGAAGGATGAAGCGAGAATTACATCAAAAACTCATAGAGCAGGGCGTCTCAGAACGACAGAAGGTAAGTTCCATCAAAGCGGTCTTTAGTCTTTTCAACAGTTAATTTTGTTAACTCCACTTTTAATTAAAATTTTACTGTAGCTTACAGACTTACTAAACAAGGGTAAACTAGAATTGGAGAAGCAGCACGAAGAAGTTAAGAGATCTTTTGACGAAGACAAAATTAAAGTAAGTCGGAACCGTTGTCCGGCTAATAAATTGTTTTTACTAAATCTTATTCGTTCCACTCGACAGGCTTATGCAAAACTGCAAGAAGACTTTGAACAACGCTGTCTGCAGCTCACAAGAGAATACGAGAAGAGTCCCGTGTCCACCAGCTCAGAATCTCCCCACAGCACTCCCTTATGAAAGGTCGACTAACGGTCAGTTCTAGTATTAAATTTGATCAAACAGGGCAGAGGATACTCTACACGTTTGCAATTTTAGTTCATTTCTCTGATTTATTTACAGAAAACGATGATAATTTAAGCATTCCAGGTTTTGCTTAATGTAATTTTGGTGCTCACACGCGAACAAGAAAGGTCGGAGCAGGATACAGATCTCAGACATCTGTATAGTTTGAAATTTATTTAATGTGCCACGTCTGTTGATAAAAGAACAATTGTTTCATCTATGTATATATATATAAATATAAACTATATATACTTAAGTGTATTTTGTCTCAAAACAACAGCTTTTCTTTAAAAAACATAAAAAAAATGATTGGATGGATATATAAAGTATACATTTATTGGTCATTTATTTTGCATATAATGAATCTATATATATATATATAAAAGAAAATGTATATTTTGTTGGTGTGCTCATCATCAGGGAATGATATTTTTCTTTATTTTCGATTGAATTTTTTGTAATTCCTACTTTACAAGAAGCATGCGTAAATCATTTACCGGAATAATTCCAAAAAAATTGCCACGAGAGTCGAGACACCGGATGCGGAAAACGGTGCGGTTTCTTCTCTTTTTAATGTCGTATCGTCTGAGAAAGTTAAAAACGATTGCATCTCTCGGCGACTATACTCATAATAACCGGTGTAAATAAACATAGAAATATTCTTTCTCACAACATATATATATATATATATATAAGTATATATGTAATACATTCCAAAAAATTTCCCCAAAAAATACATTTTGTGTTTCTGATTTTCCCCTCCCTCTGTAAAGGTGGCCAGAAGACAAAGTCACACTTTCCGGCAAAGAAAAAAGCATCATAGTTTACTAAAAAAAATAAACAAAAAATGTACAGTCAATTATGTGTTTGTACATAATTACGTGCTAATTACATTTATTAAAATGTAATAAAAAATTTAAATATTGGGCTGTGTAACCTGTAAAATCATTCAAAAAATTAGTTTTATGCCATAGAAAAGCATTAATTAGAACATAAAGCTCTAAAAGTCCATGATACAAGAAGGTAATTGGGGAATGTTTTTTTAGATTTTGTATATTTTAAAATCAACCCCAATGATTTTTTGAATTTTTTTTATATTATTATTATTTTACTGGAAAGTACTCAGGTGTTTAACAAAGTTATAGAGGCAAGTAAACTGTTATAATTGCACTATGGCTACACTGCCAAACTGTGATGTGTGTTGTTAATTGTTTTAAAAAGAATATATTTTGACCTTATCTTTCCTTCTTTTTTATATAAATGTTCTTGAAAAATCAGTGGCATTGTTGTTTTTTGTCCGCAGACAATCCATGTACAGAGAAAGGAGCCTGAATGTAAAAACAAAAAAAAAAAAAACACACCTCTATGCATCCTGGGTAATGCGTCCAAAAAAATTGTCACGTGCGTGCTTCTGTATGTTGTATATAATAATCTAAAAACACAAAAATAAATGTTGTTGTTTGTTGTTGTTGTGGAGTTATCAGTTATTTCAAATGAATGTTAGCATTATTTTTTGGTTTGAAAATAAAATAAAATTTAAAAATTGAATTTTTTTTCTTCTATAAACAATTTTCCTTTATTTAAATACATTTTAAACTCTACTTACTTCTTGACTTCTTTTTTTGTCAATAGATGGCGATGTGCGTTTAAATTTTAATAAAAATATAATTGCGTTTAATGAGGAAATTTAGTATTTTTCAGTAATTTCATTTTCTCAGCTACAGATGGCGGTAGGTGTATTTTTAAAGTCAAAATACCCATCGCCATCTATCGATAATGAAATGAGTTAAATTTTTGTTACGTATATAATTATAATTATCAAACAGTATGTTGGTGCGTTGTTTTAAATTCTTACCAGTAGATGGCGATAGAAATAATTGTTAATATAAATATAATTAAAACGTGAATTACGAAAGTTAGTTTTACATTTTCATTTAAACATAAGTATATATCACCACTTTTTTTAAAATTAAGTACCAAATAAATTCAAGTTTATCGAAATTATACTGAATTAATTTATAAATTCAGATGTAAAATATTCATAATTATAAACCACAATAACATGTAAACATTTCTTAAATTTTTTAAATCAACCAAATTAAAAAGTTATATTAAAACTTCAGTTTTTAATTAATTAAAATGAAAAGATAATATAAAGTCAAATCCAAATTTCTTTGGTTTAATTATAAAAATAAATGAGGTCATATCGTAATTTAAATTTTTAAACCAGACGATAAAAATTATTGTAAAATATATTTAAAAATTTACAAAACGTAGAAATTAATTTGTAAAAATAAATAATTTGAATTAATTAAACTAAAAATTGAATAAAAAAAGATGTTAAAATCAAATAAATAATTGAATTCGTTAAATTGCAATCAACGTCATCTGCAAAAAACAAAATTAAACTTGTACTAAATAGAAAATAAATAAATCGAATTTATAAAACTTTAAAATATTGAATAAAAAAAAAATATTTCACGAATGGACATTTAAAAAAATAATAATAAAAATTGAGGAAATCGTTTCTGTTTATAAAGTTTATTATTATTTTTATTTTTAAATAAACATCTCCTCCGACATTAGAATGAGCTCGCTCTTCTCGCCAGTAGCGATCCTGGCGGGGCTTGGAGGAACTAGCAGCACGGTTCTGATTATGGCTGTTGGTGGACGTGTTACGTGGAATTTAAACCGAGAAAGAAGTAAAAAAAATTAGAGTAAGGTAAGAATTTTTGCGTTTTTTCGTCGATTTATACGAACGTAAATCTATTACGAGCGGTTAAAATCAATTAATATAAATTATACCACTGTATTTTTAATTAATAGTCATTACCGGTGCTCGATCGATATAAATATTTAATTATATAAGATTTTAATAAAAATATGAAAATTTATAAGGTTTTTTAAGTTTAAAAAATGTGTAAATATCTTAAATTCGTCGATATAGAGAGTTAAATCGTAAAGAACAGCAAGATGAGATCCGAGACGATGATGATGATGATGATGCTGCCTAACGACGGATCTTTTGATATTTTATGAATTTGACGAGATAATTGCGATTAAATATGAATAAATAATGATTAAAGATGCAAAAAAAGAGTTAACGACACGAATTGATTAAAAAAAATCTATTTTTTCTACTTATTTTCGGCGAAGAGTCGATAGAATGCATTATATTAAATGATTATCTGGATGGGTATGAAGATGATAACGTGTTTTTATCTTTTATATTTCGATCTTGAAAATGTCGATCGATTTTCTGACATGGAGATTACTAATCTGCTAAATTTGAACGTTATTTACTTTATTCCATTTAGGCTATTTTTGATATATCGAATTTTTCCGATATTTTTTTTCATCCTCCTTCATTCGATTGAATTGTGATGAACGGGATAAATGTAGTAGAGTTAATGCTTCCCGCATCGTAAATTAATACAAATATCTAATTATAAATTGCTTAAATGGAGTCTAATGTATATTTTTATCGAGTTTATTTCGATTTTTATCGGATTTATTCTTAAAATGTGAATATAAATCGCCATTTTGTTCTCATTTGTGTAATTTACTCCATCGTCCGAGTACGTTGCGGCTTCGATGGGGTTGGTGTATTTATACAAATATACGACGATAAATAGCTTATGTGACGTTTAGTTTATACATTTTTTATTCGTTTCAGTCGTAAAATATGGACGAATGTCGCCATTTTGTGTCAAATTTATACAATTTCGTCTCATTTGCTACATCATCCGAACGTGTTGCGACTTCCAGAGGATCATCAATTTATATAAATATCTGATGACGAATGGCATAAATCGTGCTTAATGTAGGTTCTTAACAGAATTTATTTCGTTTTTTTTATCCGTATTAACCTTAAAATATGGATATACGGCGCCATTTATTTCCTCTTACGCCGTCGTACGAATGGTTAATTTCTAAGAATTTCAATGCAGTTTCTCAGTTTAGAAATACGTAAATTAAATTTTGATTTGATTGTTTGATTCCGAAAGCGGTTTTTTAAATTAAATTATTAAGTTTTTTTTGTATACAATTCGTTTCTTATCGAAAAAGTAGAGAGACCAACTTATCCACTTCGTAACGCTGTGATTATTGTAGAATTTAATCCTTCGACGTCGGCAAATCTAGATTAATTCACTAAAACAGCATTTTATTTTTAAATTTAAGCTGTAAGACGAAGGGGAAAGAGAAATATCTATTCTTCCGGTAGCAGAATTCATTTTTGTATACAACAATTTCTATGTTCTTTCCTTTGAAAGTGAAGTTGAATCTGTCAGAAACGGGAACAACGATGTCATTTTTCATAGCAGAAATGGATCCATGCGTAACCGCTTTGCAAAGAGGATCGGATCACTTTGTAAACTCTTCCTTTTTTTTTCAAACAGGTTATCCTTTGATCAAACCAATTTTAAAATAAATCCATTGATTATATTACTTTAAATACAACCCTTTATATTATGATGAAATCCATAAATAAGTGTGTGAATTTTACTAGTGAATGAGTGAAGTGTTGTAAAAGTGCTTAAATTCGCTCGAATGTAAGGATTTTTTAATAAAATAAATATCAATAATTTAATTTTTTACAATACAAATGAAGTTCTTACTTTAATGTTTTTAAGACTTTCATTTTGTTAAAAATGAAAAATTTCTGAATTTTATATGAGTGAAAAATGTTTTGTGCTGTAAAATATTCTGTATTTACCGTGCATAAAGAACACATTTTTATGATAAATATGTGGAAAGATGCTCTAACTCCACAAGAAAAGGTATACGTACATTCTAATAAAAACCTTTCTTGCAAAAAATCAATAAAAATAGAAATAAATTAGCAAATAATTCTTTGATTTGCTTCTAAGAAGACACCGAATTTGTTATTTGTTTTTGGAAACATAATTTACAAAAAAAAAAAAAAAAACTTTTNAAAATATTCTGAAAATCTGGTTTTATAGAAAAACTTCACTCTTACAGAGTTACATTATTTATGAAAAATCCAATTTTAATCCTCGGAAAGTAAAAATAGGGATGATTTCAAGAAAATATCTGTTAAATTGTGTGCATTTTTAACAGAATTGGATAAATGTTTTAAATTTATTTTATTTATTTTAATACGTTTTATTATGTTAAAAAAGTAATGATATCTTCTTTAGTTTCTTGAATATTCTTGGTTTATTCTATGAAAAGCGGCATCTGTCACGCGATGTTTTGATGTTAAAAACGTAATTTCTAGGTTAAAAAGATGGAAAAAACACGCTATTTAAGGTTATTAAATGAAGAAACACACGTTAAATAACTGTTCGAAATTACTATTACTTCTACTCCGCTCTCTCCTCCCAAATGCGCTTCAAGAAATTCATTTTGTTTTTAGATTGAAACTGGACACCGATACAACTTTTCTTCTTTCTGAATGGAACAAATGTTCTCTCGAATTGATAAATATTCATATTTTAAAACGGAGAAAAGATATTTTGCTGAAGATGTAATTTGGTTGACGGTCTGATAAGCCAGGAGAAGAAACACGGAGCCGAAAGACAGCCATTGACGACACGATCCTTCTCCTCGCTTCCGCTTTATTAAGCGTAAATGGACGAATTCGTAACTTTAATGTAAATTAAATTCAAAAAGATGCGACGATTTTTTGAATTTCGTGGTCAGTCGAGGGTGGGAAGTAATAATGATAGATATTTCGCAAAATGATGTTTTACAATTATGGCACACACGTACAGTACACTCTCCCGTAACACGCTGGCATTCTTAAGATTAAGGATATGAGCTCGTTATGAAAAATGCTGTTAAATTGGAGTCGATTTTTTATTTCAAGCCAAATTTTTCGGTCGTTTAGACGATGATCTCGATTTTCAGAATACCGAAAAAAGGCGAGGTCGCTCGGCCGTACGGTTGGCTATCATTTAGGTCGCGATATATTGGTTTGGTCGGAAATATTATTCCGAAACAAATTTCCTGTAATAAATTTAAATATATTCATTTTAATAATAAGATTTATCGTAAAATCTCTACACATGACGGCAAATTACTTCTTCCCCAATGCTTTTACGTCGATTAAAATATATGTTGAATTTATGAGATAAATATATTAATAGAATAAAATATACGGTAATAATAATAAAAAATATATATTTTTTAATAAAATTTACTTATATGCCACGAATTATTATTATTATTTATTCTACGCTAACCCAGTTTCTATTTTTGATGATAACGCATAAAAAAGTTTCAAATCGATAGCTGGCAACACTTTCGCGAAGATTTAAAAAATTATTTAGAAACGAGCTAGATATTAAAATATCATTACTATTTAATATCTTTTATAAATAAAACATAAATTAGAAGAAACATATAAATATTTATTATCGTTTTTAGCCTTTTTTTGTATGTAGATAGATTTTTTTATTGTACTGTATCTTAAAAAAATTTATCTCCGCAAGGCGCCACCAATTGGGGAAAAAACGAATTAAGTTAACAGACAGACGACAAAATGCCGTCTGCTTATCGATATTTCTTTTTTTTCCCAATGTTTAATCTTTGATTTATTTGTTATGTTGTATAAATGAAACGAAACGATTAAATTGATACTATTTTTACCTTTAGGACGGCCAGTCGTTGGAATTAACGCAAGTGAACGATATCAGGCAAGGCGGAATACCAAAGGTGAAAGAGATTTTAATTATTAATTTATTAACATTTATTGATTATTTTAAATATAGTCGGTTAAATCAATAAAGAATGTCTCTTTCCATGGCAATAAATTGCCAGAGGATATCTTTTCTCGTGTGACATTGGTCTGTCCGTCTTTTCTTTACTTGACAAAGTGTTTCTCCAATATATTGGATATAGGAAAAAACATAAAAATCATCATTACTCCTTCTTCGCTCGTACACACGACAAACTCTTACTTAAATTTACATACGTTGCAGCTGGATAACTCCATTTTTATACGTTAATAAGTGCAATTATCCAGTTATATGTTGCGTATATATATAAGTTTATTGATTTTATATAATGTCGGGTGACCGAATAAATAATGTCTCGTTGAAATGTGAATAAAAATGCTTGTATTTTTTGTTTAAAGTTTTATTTATTAAAATATTCGCCTTTACATTCAATTATAGTTTCTGAATGTAAATATTTTGATGAATAAAATTATTTTAAACAAAAAGCTCAAGCGTTTTTAGTCATATTTCAAAAACGACATTATTTATTTAGTTACCTGATATATACGAATGCATTTTAGATAAAATTGCTTTATATTTTATATACGACAAATTCTTATCTAAATTTACACATTTTACAAGTTGTTATAATTGGATAACTAAGTTTATATATGTAAAGTGTAGCTCAAAAGTTAATAATTGTAAATACTAAACTGATGACGACAGAAAGCACACTCGGCAGAGAGAAAAATATTCACCACTTTATGACATTCTGTGTTCCGTACTCGAAGATGGGCTATAAAATGGGTTGAAAACGTTTGCGAATATTTAAATAAATCATTTTTCGGGGTTTATAAAGTGGTTACGTATATTTGTTGGCTAAATTGATGTTACGCTATTACTGATACCTTGCAAAAATTGTTCAAACTGAGATCCCTCCTCGTTAAATATACAAATTACAACGCTTTGTTATGTTCTCGTAAATTGAATGGCTTGCGGACAGTGCGGTTATTTGACTTTTGGGCTATTTTGTATGTGTAAGTATATAGTTTGCCTGTATGGGTGTGTAAACGTACATAAAATTGGATAATTCCGAATATTTCTATAAATAAATGGACTTATCTAATTTTATTTATTTAGATAAGTCCTAACTATTAACCAGTGTAACAGAATAATTCCAGTTATTGAAATTATCAGTTGTGCTTTTTTATTATAATAATGCGATTTTGATAATCGTGTCTAAACAAATTATATTCATTATGTTTATACAATATTTTGTATGTTACATATTTTGATGATTGGATTAGGGTGCGGAATCGTGGAATTAGAAAACCCGGATGGCATTTGATTATTTCGTATATTTCCTTATTTGTGGAAATGTACTGATAAAATATTTTCTCCGTGTACTAAATTTATGGGATTAAATTAATTAATAAAAAAAAAAGGCGAAATATTCACACTCACATTCTATTACTGTCGCACCGCATTTCCCATTTTGTTAGCGGATATAAGACAATGTCATAAGCTCACTTTAATGAATTTTAATTTAAAAATAAAATTTATAAGTTTATATCTCTTTCAGTTACGTTTCAAATTTATCGCGTTACTTGTTTGTTGTTGATTTATATAATGGAAGACTTTGGCGTGAAGTATTAAATAATGTTTCACGCCAAGATCGATCCACATTAGTAAAGATCACACGCTAAGATCACATTAGCAGCATATTTTAGAAATATTGTTATGTTTGTTTGTAGCACGAAGACTGCACAGCTTTATTATTTTAGTATGTATCATATTAAATCTCAAGCGAAGAAAATAACCAAATGCTTGTTTATAAATTGTAATATAGTCTATCTTTTTCGATAAGAAAGACATATTTTATTGTACATTATAAAATTTCGGGCGTAAGATTTGTCTCTCTCGTATAAAAATGTGATAGAAGATTTAACTGCGCACAAAATTCTTATGGGTGAACATTTTAAGACTGTTTTTACGCTTGAAAATTTTATTAAATTTTCGTAATGGGGCCTAAACTCGACACGTTAACATTTCTTTTACATTACGAAATTAACTTATAAAAATTTGTAATTTTAATTAAGGAATCATATATGTCTAACTGGCGAATTACAACAGTTCATTCATAAATCACAGAGCCGTGACGTCTTATTTAGTGTACGCTGTAAGGAAGATTTAGAGGAAATGTCGTGTAATTTAAAATTGGGTTTTTCTGTATTGTTGAGGATATTTTTCGACGATAGCGTTCATAATGTAACATGTTTTTTGTATACGTTAGTTTTAATAGATGTTTTGTTTGGCGACGAATACGGCGATCATCTCGATAATGCTGCGAAGGTGAACAAAGTCTCGCTACAAAATGAAAGCTTATTAATGCAACTTTTTAAGCAGACACGACTGACACGGACTAAATATCTACGCAGATAAGAAGTTATATTTTTGAATTTGTAATTCCGTTGCGCACGAATTTTAATGTCACTCGTCGTTTATCAGATTAATGTAATTGCTCTCTCGTTAGTCGTCGTTTAGTGTGTAATAGTCAAATTAGCCAAAATCTTAGAAAAAAAATCGTAATTTAGTAAACTAAGTTTATAACTATTAAATAATAATAAAATGTTTATGAAATATTCTACACTTAAATTATCCTGCAATCTATGGACAATTGTTTAATGGAAAAATGCAACCCTTAGAGAAATATAAAATTATTCTACCNAGGTTAGCTTGTCTCTTGTCAACCACATGTTAGTGAACCCGTAACCCGCGCGACGATTTCGAGGCACCCGCATCGAATGTTTAGGCAGTGTCAGGTTTTTACAGATTATGTAAAGTTTTAAAATATATTAAATATTTTTTTATACGTAGTGTGAAAGCGTGTAAAAAAACTTGAAAAATTTGTAAAGGCTCGGTTATAAGGCTCGAATAGATAGGTACTGTACAGTACTTAATTTTCCATTTGCACATATTTATATGCGTACAATACATATAATACAGATATATGAGTCTCCATTTACAATAGGTATATAATTTCCATAATCAAACTATCATCAAATAAACAGCAGATTTCCTATTAAACGATATAAAGTATTTGGTTCTTTTATAATTAAATTATTATTTTCTAATTAATTTTTTGATATACATTAAAAAGTTAAAGAAAATAAAATTTGTAGGCATTTTGTTATACAGCGTGGGAAAAGAAAGTCACTTAACGCCCGTGCTACAGAATATAGAATGTACATTTAGCACATCTTGTAACGTACATAGTTCTGTAACCGTTTGAGGTAGATCAATAAAATTTTTAGGCGATCAATTTCTTGTGAAATTCTGATCCTGAATGATGTGTCACACGACCTCTTACCAATTACAGTTTTGGAGTTGCATTTAATATGGCAGCCATCAAGATGGCGGCCGTACGCGTAACACGCATCAATCTGCTCCCCCTTGGTCTAATGTGTTTCTGACACGAGCGAATTAACTTTGGTTACATTATATATTCTGTAGCAGGAGTGTTATGTGACTTTCTTTCCCACCCTGTACTTTTTAATTACACAAATTAAATATCGGACCCGCAATTTGGAGTTTAATTTCGGATTTAATTTTGTCCCAACTTCGGAAAAAGGTTGACCACAGCTGACCTAAATGAAAATACTGAAATAAACGGATGATTAATTACGAAACAATTAGCCGGCAGCGTAAGAGAACGGAACGAATTTGTTTTAATCAGAAACACGAGTTCGAGAGTTTGAAAAAAAATAAATAAAAATTGTTAAAACTTTTACTAATTAAGAAAATACGAGTATTAATCATTTGTTTTCCTTTAATAAATATCTGGAAATGCGAACGAAATAATATTTTCGCATTTTTTCAAATTTAATTAATTGAAAAATTCCTAAATACTCTAGTTTTATAGCCTGGAGAAAGGAAGAATAATGGAGTATTGGGATATAGAATATTTTAATTAGAGAAGCAAAATTACTTAACAAGTGATGGTTTAAATATATCTTCATTACTTAATGTTGCTTAAAATAAACTAATATCCAATTTATAAACGACGAGACGAACACTTGTAACCTCGAACACGAGTGGTTCCGCTGTCTGGGATATGTGCCTGTTCGACTTTGAGTGGATTAAAGTGATATTTCTCCATCACGGGATTTTCGGAAATGTTTTTAACATAATATACTCGACGTTATTATCTCTTAAAACTATTAACGAGATTTAAATGTTTAATTTGAATCAAGGATCCTCGTCTGCTTTCGGAACTTCAATGTCGTTTTAAAGGCAATTTAGAAGATATATCGTTAACAATATGTGCGGGAGCGGATATGGTTAACATCAATTACACTCACATTGTGTGTCCGGATGAAGAAATAGCAAAGGTTTAAATCGATTCTATCCCTTCGTAGTATAGATTCTATTGCGAATGTATAAAGATTTTTCTTATATTTATCTAGACATGGAGGGATGTTTTAAGGCGTATCACAAATAATAACAAAGCCAATAACATTTGTCCAATGACGTCGTTAAAGAAACAGTAAGTATTTTTATATCCGTTTATCTTTCTGAAATTTATTTTAAAATTTAATTAAAAATTACATTTGTTAGTTGGATGAAGCTTTGTTACTCTGTGGATCCAGACGGTAAAATACCGGTGAGGAGGTAAATAATCTGTGAATTATGCGTTTAATGTCGGAAGACAATTTATAGGAATCATTTAAAAATTTCATTTATATTTTCAGGATTTCGCAGACTTTCGCTTCTGGGAAAACGGAAAAATTGGTTTACCAATGTCTAGGTGAAATAGGACTACCAAACGACAAGGTTAGCTTGTCTCTTGTCAACCACATGTTAGTTGTTATCGATTGGTAATGGTAGACTCGAGTAACTGTCTAAGTCATATTTTTGTTATCAATGTTAGCCAATAATACCCAATGTTTCTTTCCTAGAACGATGTTATAGAACCTCGCGATTTTACATTCGATAAATTTTATCAAATATATCATAAGCTATGTCCTAGAAACGATATCGAAGAACTCTTTCAATCTCTGTGAGTATTTGTTATCGTTAGTTACCTTAATTAAAATCTATAATGAATTATAAATGTTATATTTTCAGAACTCAGGGTAAAACGGATACTTTGAGCATGGAACAATTCATTACTTTTCTAAATCAAGTGAGTACTAAGTCGGGATAATTTTTTATGAACTTAATAGCGTGATATAGATTTCAAATAGTTAAAATTTGCGTTATATTTTAAGACAATTAATAGTAAACTTTGTTTCGTGAAACAGAGACAACGAGATCCAAGATTGAACGAGATTCTTTATCCTCTTTACGAAGAGAAACGTGCCAAAGAAATAATCTTGAATTACGAACAAAATGAAGAAAATTGCAAAGATAGTGAGTTGTTTTCCTTATTAAATGCAGTTATAGCAATAAACAAACGTTACATTATAAATATATTTATTTAAACAGGTAAATTAAGTCACGACGGTTTAATTCGCTATTTAATGTCGGACGATAATGCGCCAGTTCTGTTAGATCACCTCGATATTTATATGGACATGGACCAACCATTATCTCATTATTACATTAATTCCTCTCATAATACTTATTTGAGTGGTAGACAGTTTGGTGGCAAATCGTCGGTCGAAATGTATCGCCAAGTGTTATTGGCTGGCTGCAGGTAGAATTTCACGTATTAAAACTATATTCTTGCACGAAATGGCACAAAATTGATATTTTATGTATTAGGTGCGTCGAATTGGACTGTTGGGACGGTAAGGGAGAAGACGAGGAGCCTATTATAACGCACGGGAAGGCTATGTGTACAGATATCATATTTAAAGTAAGTAATTATCCGAATATATTCAAGTTTCAGCATTGCAATTGTTTAATATAATTTACGTACGCAGGATGTTATTTACGCTATTCGCGATTGTGCATTTGTTACATCCGACTATCCAATAATATTGTCTTTTGAGAATCATTGTAGGTAAGTAACTGTTACTTTTATAAATTACGGTTTAAAATAGTTAATTATTGATAAAAACTGAAAAAAATTTAAAATATACCGGTAATAATAATTATCGTTATTTGAGATAAGAATTTCTTAAAGATGTGCAATAAAATGTAATTTTATTGCATATTCCTTGTTATTTATGAGTAGTGATTTTATTTGACACGGTTAAAAATATGCATTGAGACAATTTACATACATTAACATATTTATTTAATTTGTAATGATTTAATTGTTAAACACATTTATTTTTACACAGTACATTTTTAGTTTAATTAATATAGAACTAAACCCGGAATGCATTCTTATTTTTCTATACAGTTAAATATTGCCATTTTTCAGTCGAATAAAAATTGATTAACGCAAGATATATTGAATTCATTGTACAAATTCCATTAATAATTGATATTAATACCTCGCAAACATTCCTGCGTGTAATTAAATCCGAGCATCCAAATGAAAGTTTGCATATTCTTTATTCATTTATGTTATAATTCTACACTTATTAGTGTTATTTTGAAGACTTAACTACAGAATTATTCGTTTCGAGCGATGCTAACTAAATTATCTACCGACTGGCAACGATTCAACTTAATGAAAAGATCATAAAGGCAAATTTTATATAATGAAATTTTCGAATAGAATAAGACATAAATAAAATTCCCACCGAAACGAAATCTTGGCTTCCGTCTACGAGTGTGTAGCACGTTAGAATTGTTTTCAATACTTTTCGTTGCTCCAATTAAAAAGCAGTTAGAGAAAAATTAAGTTTTAGTGCTCGTAAGTAAGGAAAAAGGTGCGAGTTAACATCTAAATTTCGATATTATTAATTAAGAATTTACGTCATATACGCCTCGATTTAATACATACGGCAACCTTAGTTCGTTCTGTCTGCAAAGTTTTAGTAGTGTTGGCAAAGGCTTTTATTTGTTCGGACAAATCGAAAACCTTCATAAATCGAGATTGCTGCTACTGCACCCGAAAAAGATTGGTTTTTAATCGCGAGTTGCCAATATTGCAGGCAATAAGACAAGATTAATGAATAACGGCGTGACGTGTACCGAACCGATATTTTTAAGAACCGATTTTCGTTAATGCAGTCTGTAAATAATTTATTAATATATAATTAAGTGTTGTTGATTAAGTTTCTCGATGAAATATATATCGTCGAATAGTAATTAAATTTACTCGACTTCAAAATGAATATAAATAAAGTATTTAATTAATTTAAAAAAATAAAAACATCTTCTTCTTGCAGCTTTTTTGTCAGTTGTTTGTAATTTAGGGTGGGCCAAAAGTCATTTAACAGTTGTGAAGACTAATTTGCCGTCTTGTTCAAATATTTTATCGCTTTTAAACTTTACAAAAATTACTCAAAATGAGATTCTTCTGGTTCGATACAAATTGGCGAATTGTTGGCAAACAAAGAGGCTAACCGACTTTTGGATCACTTCGTATAATATTGCCAATATTTTTAAGGATTGCATTATTGTGTGTTCACCCGAATGAATAGAAAACAAAGATTATTCCTATTCTATCAAGAAACAATAACATTATATTTTAAATAAGTTTCATTATTATGACTATAAATATCCTTTGAAACGTTAGTTATACCATTATATTAAGTTTACAGAATTTTATATCGAGAAATACACGAGATTTCACTAATATTTTTTTAAAAGAGATTTAAGTCTCGAATTTAACTTGGGATTTTCGTTATCGAATCGATATCTCGTCTTTGCATAATTTTGATACATTTTCTATTTACTGTGATAATATTTTTCATCGTCTCTGTAAATTCTGTGAGTAAGAAAGAAAAACTTCACGTAAAAAGGATTTTTTTGACGAAAGTTAACGAATAAGTATGAGGGTGTTTCAGTATTGCGTAGTCTTCGATTCAATCAGTTCGTTCTATTCGTATCTCGTTAGCGTTATTAAACACAGAGTAACAAATAAACATACTGCATTCTAATATATATATATATTTATTTTTTTTTTAATTAAAGAATATAAAATATCTCCAAAGTATAGATAGGTGACTCGGTGGATAGATAGCTCCAAAGTATAGTTGGTGACTCGGAACCGTTGTTCAGTTGCCCTCCAGTTCCTTATGAATAACGAATTGAATTTTGTATTATTATACCGCAACATGAAATTTAAATTGCAATATACGTATCGTACTTTATTTTTCTACCTCCTCGAATTGCTATACAAGTCGAAATTCGATATTGTTACATTTACAACCAATACTCAGGAAATTCTCATTAAATTAATATAAAATTTCGACCGTATGTATCACATTTATGTAAGTATGCGTAGTAGATATTCCTTTGTTGCTTACTCTTTACTAATATTAATAATTGTTTCTAATAATTGCTTATTGTCCAGCTGTGTTGTTTTAAAGTAAAGTTCCTTTTCTTGGACATAAATGTTACAAATGTGTGTGTACAGCCGATACAATTTCATTTTAAATGTTTACCCGGCCTCATCCCCTTAATTAAAAATTTGCTCGGAATCGATATAGGAACTAATAAAACGTAAAAATGTTCATTTGTTGCTTGTGTCGTGTCTCGTTCGAATGTCGTACAATTTTATCATAGATATATCCAGCAAAGAAAATCTCGTGTGACGCGATCGTTATCGGCGACATCTCTAGTAATGCGCGTGATTTAAGACAAATACTGTACTATTTTCGACGATCACTCGTCACGAGAATATCCCGAACTCTCCGTCTTCTCGAATCCGCACGAACTGCCATTTATTCTAGTGGGAAATATAGAATGTATTACGAAATTCTACCGGAATTTTCATAAAATAGAATATCGAATTCATCGTAATTGTAGTGTAATCGAGAAAATATCATTTATAAAAAAATTTTGAAATCTTTTACGTAAAAGTTGCGGAAATCTAATTTTTTTTTCTGGTGTCGGAGCTTCGAGTAGCTATAAAATTCATCTCTAAAGCGGGCATTTGATATAAGTAAGAAATAATGGGCTATAATACGATCCTTCGCATTACTCACTAACGATTGATCCACCTGACAATGATATATACTTAAAGCAGAAGCTGCAATAGCGAAGTTTTTTTTATTGCTTTATAAAGGAGGTGTTAAAGAGCCGTTCGGTTCTAAAAATCGGGAAATTTTTGAAAGTCAAACGAAAGTTGGTTCTTATCGTTATATTCTCGACTAATGTTTCGAGTCGATGATATAAAATTTAGTGTAAATTATTTGGAATAAAATTCTGTAAATTTGAAAATAATAGTTGATAAATTTTAAAGCATTTCTATCAGTTTATCTACCCGGTCCCACGAGATTGCTTGACATTATCGGAAAAGGATCCTGCCGAATTTGTTTTTAGTTTCTGATAATAAAATGGTCTTAACTTGGTTTTTTTCCTCTTTTCGTAAGAATGAAAACGATTTCTACGCGTTATCCAATATTTTCTAGGCGTATCTGCAGTATATATTCTAGATATTAACATTTTTCTTAAACAACGCTCGATTCTACAGATTGATTCCTAAATCTTTTTTCTAGTTTTTCCTTCCAAAATTTCTCCGCATTCTTCTAATATTCTTATTTATTTGAAAAAATTCTCGGTACATTCCGACGTCGATATCGAAAATGCCTTTGCAATCGCTCGATCCGTTCTTTCGTCTGTTCGCACTACCGAAATCTGAATAGGATGCTTTCAATAAGAGAATTATCGACAAAGAAACATTAAAGCACCTTTTAGATTCGTCCGAATTCGATATTTATAAAATCGTGATACATAATTATATTTATAAGCTGGATTTTAAGTTAATGTATTTAAATACAGTAAATAAAATTACCGTACTTATTTATATAAACGGTGGCCGAAAATAAGTTAACCGCGATAAACACTAAATCGATGTGACTCGACACGAATTTCACAATAGCTCTTATTTACGTATTACGAATTTTAACTCTGATTTATCTTGTATATTCAGTATATTCGTAAAAATTTACAAATAATTGCACACATTCTACGCTATTCGATGCACTATACATTTGTGTAAATTGCAAAAGTGGCTTATAGTTAAAATACAGAGAACTCGTAGAGAGGGAGAGAGAAGTCATCGAGTTTAGCTTTCGGAAATTTCTATTAATTCTCAGTTTGTAATTTTCTAATATAAGATATCATTTTATCTTTCAAACTTTCGGTATCGAGTATTAAAATCTGTCAAGCAGTTTGATGTTTGTGCGGATCGTGTTACTTGACGTTTTGCTATTAATAATGCAATTCTCACGAGAAGTATTCGGTCTAATTAAATTTCAAACCCGTTTGTTTGTTTTAGGTATTTTAAATTATTCCATCCCACATTTAGTTTTCTTTTCACGCCAGGAATTCCGAAGCGTGTAGTATCAATTGTTTTCTTCCTCGTTTATTTATTTATCGTCTTAATTAAATAATAATAAGCAATTAGTGTTTGTGTCGCGTAAACAAAAGTTGGTTCTAGGCGTTTTAGCATAAATGTTTTCTGAAATTTAATATCTTCTAAATAATTTCTTCTATTAAGCCTAAATATTTTTGAATTACATTAAACCGTACAATTATAAACCAGTTAAATTTATATCAATGTTTAAATGTTATATTAACGTTTAACATTGATGTAAATTTAAAATACTCGCTTGCGCACATTCGCACCGATATAAAATTAAACTATTCGCTCGATCGCAGTCGTACGTTGCAAATTTTAAATACTCGCCGTGAGCACGAATAATTTAAATTTCTATCGATTTAACACGCTGATGTAACTTTAAATTACTCGATCACACTTCGTAAAGATTGAATTACTCATACCATGTACTTTTTATAATAGTGCATACGTACAAAATCAGCGATTTTTGTCAGAAAAATGGGATCTCAGGATTTTCGACGTCGCATGGCGACGGAAAGAGCGGAATGCGTGGTTTTGTTTCCAAAGGTTCCTACATGCGTAATATTAAATATAACATACTCAAATTTCTAAATTAGTGTATTGGTGATTTTAAAGGTATTTTTACGTTTGTTGCAACACTCATACAGCTCTCGTCAATCAAATGGCTTATTTAACACAACTGCACTTTTAAGTCAATCGTAAAATAATGCATTTTCTGACGAAACACCGGGTGTTTCGTCGAAAAATAAAAATATAGTTCGCTCCGCGCCTAGAAGATTATTTAAATCTTACTATGCGTGATTCGAACAAATTAAAAACATTTATTCTTGAGATTTTCGTACTTACTCTACCCTTAGTGTAGCATAAAATTCCCGTTACGGGCAAGAATATTTTCTAAGACTTAAAACGGTATTAAAATGCCGAAAATATACGCACCTGACGTAAATTTAGAGAACTGCAACAAACAGAAATATAGAAGTAGCGAAGGGAGAGATGTATTCGCGATAATACTTTATATCTCCGAAAATAATCGGATTACTCGCGATTATTTTCCCAAATGTATATACCACGAAATGCGCGTATAATGCGATTATTCGTAAAAGCAAAAAGTCCAAAACGATAACGTCGACTAAGCGGATATTTTTTTTTAAATCAGAACTTCCGTAATTAAATTTTCCGAAAGAAAAATGGCGCATCACCGATATAGAGATTACTGCGAAGAATTACGGATTGTAGCCTAAAGATTTTGTCAGAATATCAGTAAATTAGAACGGAAGAGAAACGAATAAAAGTTTAATAAAACACGGCAAAGGGGAAATTTACTAGGCTAGATACTCACACTGCAAACTTGTATGAGACGACGCGACGTAACGACGCGTCACAAATAAAAGTAGAACGAGAACAATGCACCGTCCTCTTCGAACACGAGATCGGACGATAGAGCGAACCGAACACATTAACCTTTGTTTGGTCTTCTAATTACACAAGTGTTTTTAATATCTAATAAGAAAGGATAAACTCTGTGGATAGAGCCTGTTGCTCACACCTTTAATTCGAGTCAGTTCGAATTCAGCAATTCTTAAAACATTATTTGATAAATTTCACGAAAATTGAACGGACCAGATCTAAGAATTCGACGGTGCTTATAAAAAGCGATTAATGCGTGCAATTATAATGTCTCTAGTAGCTCGGCGTGTAGATTTAATCGCCGGCATCGACGTTAAGAGCCACACTTCTCGCATCGATCCTCGGTATCGATAACACAACTTTAAAAGAACGCATCGAAGCTTTTATCTGAATTATCCGTCAATTTCTCATTCGGATCGGTGGGTCGGGGGTTCCAAATTTTCGTTTTCTTGCTTCCCGGGAAGCGTTTTGACTAATGGAAACTTTTATCTATACCTTACCTTATCGATTCCACTCCTAGAAAAATAATCGTTGTACAATAAAAAAAAAAATATGATCATAGAAGTAAACACAGATTCCAGAACAACGGCTCGTTCACTGGTGCGTAAACGTAATAATATAATGATAAATGTCGAGCGGTCATTTAAACGAATTGTAGCTAAAACCCGTCCGAGTCGGACGATAGTAGCGGGTTGCGCGGAAAGGTGTCCGATTTAGAGAGGGGAACACCCGGGATATGGGCGTCCGAATCTGGGAGTCTGTAGTATGAAAATTGGCAGTCGGTTTTATTTTCTAAAAAGCGTGGAAAATTTCGTAACGCATTGGTTGCCGTAGTGTACTGTACTTTAACGGCATTACAGTTAATCAACCTAACCTCGTTACTATAAATGGAAACTACGCGATTAAATTATACTAAACTTGGAATTAAATAATGATGCATTTATTTAACAATTCAATTATTTTAATGTAATATATTACAGTAAGAAGCAACAGTATAAATTAGCCAAATACTGCGACGATATTTTAGGAGATCTTCTCCTGAAAGAACCTCTTCCTACTCATCCCGTAAGTAACGCATCTTGTTTCTCTCCGTCGTAATCGATAAGAACTAAGATCGATAAACTAAAAATGCTTTTTCTTTCCGATACTAAAATTCTTCCGTATCTTTACTCTTCTATTCGACATACCTAAGAGATTCTTGCACCGTGCAATATGGCCAGAGATTCGGTTGAACGTTCCCAAATTTTTCTTCTCTGCGGAGGACATAGAAATATATTACAATATCGAAGGCGTTTGTGCACGAGATTTAATTTTTCTTTGTTTTATTACAGCTGGAACCGGGAATACCTCTTCCTAGTCCTAATGATCTCAAGAGAAAGATCCTTATCAAAAACAAAAGACTTCGTCCCGAAGTAGAAAAACGTAATTGTTCCATCTGATTTGCATATTCTCGAGTTTTTAAAACGAAAGTTGCGTAAAAATGTTATTCGTATTTGACAGAGGAGTTGGAATTATGGAAAAAAGGCCAACTTCAGAACGACGACGACGACGACGACGACGACGACACCACGACGTCATCACCCAGTGTCGCCATGTCGCCTTCTGATGAAGTTCCCAACGAATCGGGTAATTAAAACGCGGCTTCCGTTCGATCGGTCGGGGTGGCGTGCGCGATTATACGTAAAACCCAACGGATGACGTCAAATTGACGTAGAAGCGCACGCCGCCTCGCTATATTTGTAGTAAACAAAAGGAAAAACGAAATTATTAACGATAATTTTATTGTTTTTTTTTACAGAAAGAAAGGTAAAAACACGATTTATTTAAAATTAACGGCAGTCGAGCGCGTTTGACGACGTTTATTTTCGATACAACTTAGGAAGCTTCTGCCGAACAGTTAGCCATGGCTAATTATCAATACACGGGTGCAACCATCCACGTTCATCCTTATTTATCTGCGATGGTTAATTACGCCCAACCCATCAAGTTCCAGGGTTTCGAGGTAGCCGAAGGTACGCTCCCATTCTATAACGTAAGTCCGAAAGATCGGTTTAAAACACGTAAGGTTCGTAGCGGTAGTACGAGGGAAAGATTGATTTTTTAAATCAATAAAGAGGGTGAAGTTTTCCAAGTGAGAAAAAAATCCTGCCACCGTTTTGGCAATTTTCCAGAGAATTTTTTCTTCTCCGGATTCCATGATGTTTTTCTTGCCTTTTTCAGAAAGAAACGTTTATCATCATATGTCTTCATTTGCCGAAAACGCCGCTTTGGGTTACCTTAAATCGCAAGCCATCGAATTTGTCAAGTATCCTTAAATCGATTCCTATGCTTTTGCGCATCCGTCTCCATTAATCCTCGTATTATTAAACTATTAAACGCGATATTCTTTTATAAGCCTTCCAAAAGTCGGTCAACCGCCTTTGGCTATTCGGAAACGTTTGTCTTTACGACGGTTAGCCGATTTTTGGGCCACCCGCATATTTTATTTCGTAAACGACGGAGACGGATCGATAAATATTGTAATAGATTTTAGAAACGATACAGAAATGGCGAATTAAAACTTGACTACAGTTCAGTTACAACAAAAGACAAATGAGCCGAATATATCCGAAAGGAACTCGAGCAGATTCTAGCAATTTTCAGCCTCAGGTAAGCCACCAACTTGGTCTTTTTTAATTTATTCGCAAAGAAGCACTAAATTAATCGATCCGTTTAGATCTTTTGGAACGCTGGCTGTCAAATGGTAGCTTTAAATTTTCAAACTTCCGACTTACCTATGCAATTAAATCAAGGGAAATTTGAATATAACGGAGCTTGCGGGTGAGTCCCATCGCTCGTTTACTAATTTACCTAATTAATTAATCGATTATCGCAAATTAGTCTGTTGCGGGTGGCCACCCCCTGGATTTATTCTGAAGTTTCTGGTATTTTCAGTTATTTGTTGAAGCCAGATTTTATGAGAAGACCAGACAAGACGTTCGATCCTTTCGCCGAATCGCCGGTGGACGGTGTTATAGCGGCTCAGTGTTCGGTGCGCATTATATCCGGGCAGTTTCTGTCGGATAAGAAAGTAGGGACTTACGTGGAAGTGGACATGTACGGATTACCCACCGACACGATAAGAAAAGAATTCCGAACTCGAATGATACCTTCCAACGGATTAAATCCTGTTTACAACGACGAACCTTTTGTTTTTCGTAAGGTGAGTTTATCGGGCGCCTGCCGCCATCTGTCGTTAAGAATAGTACAAACCGATCCTTCTTCGGGATAATTTCGGTCGTAAATCAAAACCGCGCTATCGATCCCGTAATTTTACTGTTTATTTAACGTCACCGTTAGATTTTATGATTATTCATTGCTTCAGATAATTCGATTTTCAGATCGTTTTGCCCGATTTAGCTGTGATTCGTTTGGCCGTTTACGACGAAAACGGCAAACTCTTGGGGCAGCGAATACTTCCCATGGACGGTCTGCAGACGGGTACCCATCTCTCTTTATTCGTTTCGTTGTTTGTAGTGTCCGGAGACCCGCAGCTTTAATCCACGTCTTTTACTTTCCAGGTTATCGTCACATCGCTCTGAGGACCGAAGGAAACTTTCCCATGTCGCTAGCCATGCTCTTCATTTGCATCGAACTGAAAATCTACGTACCCGACGGATTAGGAGGTAAACTTTCTCGCGTTACGCTCATTTTATTAACTGGCGATTAAGTACTGTATTAACTGATACGTTTACGAGTACCCATAAGTCGGTATAACGTAAGAACGGTCTTCTTGGCGCGGATATAACACGAATCTGTTGGTTAAAAGAAATCTCGATTAACCGACTTTTAAAAATATCACCGACGCATTTTTATGTTTATTGTCTTTCCAATTTGCAACTACAAATTGCAGTCCGTCTAAGCCGCAGTTCTCGATCGTTTTTTTAGTGATCCATCGAAACTTCCTAATCCAATTTCGTTCTAAAGATTTTTTTCAATTATACCGAAATTTTTATCCGTAATTTCTGAAAAAAACAGAGGCCACGCTTATTAGAAAAAAGAAAAACGTGATTTGGAGAATCGGATCGGATAACGGACCGATATTATTTTCCGTTTTTTTCCGGACGGTCGATCGGTCGTTCTACCAATCAGAAAAACACAATCAAACATCGATTTAGTATCGCCATTTGTTTGCCTCCGGATTTGCACTAAACCGAAGTTCTTTAACGATAAGAATTAAGTTATACGTAGTAACGAGGTCCGCATCCGAGTTCGAAAGTGGCGGAAATCCTCCGTTTATTTTCCCGATTATTACGTATTATGACGTGGGAAAGTACTGGAATCGTGTCAAATTTGGCTCTCTGGGATTTTTGAAAATCTCCACGTTTTGAGACCTCCCGAATCCAAAAAAGGCAAAAAAATTCCGTGGATACGTATGTACGTTTTAGCTTCTAGTTTCGTTTTATATCTCGGGATGGAGTATAGGTTAAGAAAGGAAATATCGCGCTATAGCTCGTGTATAAGGAACATCGATGCTATTAAATTTTGGTGGCTAAAAGTCGAGGGGATGGGGAGATAGAATGGTCTTACGGAATATTTTACTCGTTATTAGCATTTACTCGTTTTTATAAAACTCGTCTCTACCCTCAAAACCCAGCCTTTTGTCATTTCGTAACGACTAATGTAAAAATTATTTTTTAACGAAATCTGCTACCGGATGGCGCCACAGACAATTTTAGTGTTACGCTAATACGTCTTCCTGGTTACTGTTATGGCCGGGAAAGTTACGCAACCCGTTGCCCGATTTTTGTAATTGGAGAATACCGAAGAGTTCTATAAATTTCTATAGATCCTTTTCGAGAATATTCGTTACACTTTACGAGGGTCTATCTTAGGCGGGCGTCGTATCGACGTTTGGCCCGCCGCTTATTTATCTCCTCCCATTCTGTCACGGGACTTAAGGGTTTACTAACGATTTGGGCCGTCGATGCCGGAAATCGAGTCGCTTTCCCCTATCGATTTACAAGTTTTTCGCTTCTTTATATCTGTTTTTTCAGACCGGAACAGCGAATGATTATTAATTGTGGCATCGAACGCCGAAAAAGAAAGAAGAGAAATTAATGGCTCCGAGTTAACGTAAGATAAACAAGTTGTTAAGCGTAAATATTCTCTGATAGATCGATTGTTTTTAGAAACTGTTATATTAATAACTAGCATTCCCTGTCGCGGCCTCGCCCGCTCTTATGTACAGTACATATAGAACTTTGAAAATTTGAACTAATTGTTCATTAATTATTTGTGGATAATCCACTTTGTATGTGAAAACACGTTGTAATTTTGAAACTCCGAATAAGATTATCATCATCTTGCCTCGCAGCTCTCGGCATTATTTTTCAATCAATCTCAAAAATATTCATTTGAGATAAATTCAATAACTATTTCGAATATTTTGTACGATTACCTGCAGAAATTAATGCGTAACAATTCGAAAACCCACCCTAATACACGTACTGTCATCTAGCGTGATGACATTACTTTTTTAATTCCTCGAAGATTTTGCTAATTAACTAATTAAAATTTAATGTCAGTTCTTCAAATAGAATAGCAAACTTCAATAATAGACTTTTCTTATAGACAGAAAGTATTAATTCGTGTGTCGCCATCTAGTGAAGAGAGAGAGAAATACAGACAAAAATCCATTACAGTTTTATTTAATTAATAAAAAATCTGCAGGTTTGATTAGTGGTAAACATTCCGAGGACCATAAAGATGCTACAGTTAAAATTTGGTAACGATTGGTTCAGTAGTTTTCGCGGTTAGTGGTCACAAACGAAAAATACGTTATCTCTTTATATAGTAGTATAGATATAGATATAGATATAGATTCGGCTTGTACCGAACGAGCAACCCCAGTCTGGAATCGCGGATTCCGTCCTGTTGTAATTATCGGCTGGGAAAAAACTTAATTTCGAGGATAGAGAAGACATATTTCTTCAAAAAATTGCAAATGCTAATAACGACCCACTCGAGATAGAGGAAGTCGCGCGTCTTATCTGTCACTCTTCGACCTTTAACCATCAAAAGTTAATAGCATCGATCTCTCTAATGCGTAAACCCCCTGCCAAATTTCGACCAAAGACGTGGGAGTTACTAAGCTTCGAAGTGGGTGAAGGAACACAAGCATCAATACATATAGAAAAAAATCCAGCAACGAGTTGCATAACTTTACCGGCAATTATGAGATTTTATTTAAAAAATAACTTTTGTCAATTTAACTACAACATAACATAATAAAATTGCGCGTTCTGTTATTAAAAATTGTTAATTGCTATAAAATGGCAAAAATCTTAATTCGAAGGCAGGGACCAGCTTTATAGAAAATAAAGCCTAAATGCTAATAACGAGTAAAATCGTCATTAAGTCCCACCCTACCGGAGATCCCCTTTATCTCTTCAGCCCCTCGACCTTTAACCATAAAAATTGAATAGCACCATGCCAAATATCGTTACTTACCAAGTTTACTCCATCCCGAGATATTAAGAGAAATAGACGCCAACGTACACGTACGTATCTATCCACCAAGTTTTTTTGTCCTTTTATTGACTTTTTTGGATTAGGAAGGTTCAAAACGTGGAGATTTGCAAAATACTGGGAGGGTCAAATTTGACACGATTCTAATACTTTCCCTTATTACGTATACGTAACAGCCGGGAAAGTAACTAACATCGCGCATCGCAGAATTTATCACTAAACGAAGTAAGTCGAGGCCAGAGACTATTCGGGATAAGCCACTTGGCGAGAAAACCGCCAAGAGGTCCATTTACGTTATCCGCCGAATAATTAACGCCCGTATCTCTTATTCGGAAACTATCATTATGGGTGGCAAAAGCAGCCATTTAGATAGGAGAAAGGCGGGGAAACCGCCATCCGACTCTTTTACGCAAATAGCGTTGGAATTGGAAATTCTGTTAGGAGTCGGTAGGGGCGAAGTAAAACAAGAAAGTTGTAAACGTAAGTAGACGAAAGAACGTTCCCGTACCGGGCGACGAGAGGAGGATTTTGGCTGGAAAGAAATTAATTTCCGACCCACTTAACGGCCCGCCTTCCTTCGATCTCGTTTGAAGTTGTGGCCTGGTGGGAAGATTCGTCATCCCGATGGATCCCTATCTTATCGGACTCGTAACGGCCAAATCTCCCGTTGCACTCCGCGTTTTCGGCCTTCCTTGGAAATAACGATTATTTTTCGGTCCTGGCTTTTATATCGACACAATTTCGTTGGAGAATTTGAAAATTATCCTTTCGAAACCCGATATCGTTTCCTTTCTTCCGGTTTATTTGTTTCTTCGCCCTCCGTTTACTCGTACTTACGTCTCCCTCCTCGTTCTAAATCGTACCGCACTCCCGAGACGATGAAACGGAATATTTCAGTGTTTCTGTAAATTTAGCAGCTTAATAAGCCAGTCGGCCAATGTTTTTCGCTCCGCGTAATTACGTAAATAGACACAGTAAACATTTTGTTTTATAAGAAAAAACATCGTCCAATAGTTACGATATTTAGATCACTTACCGCCCGAAGATCGCGCGCGACGTGATTTACGGGCGTTCTAACGCCTTAACGGCTTAAGCGTGGACTCAACATTACCCGAAAACAGAACTGAAACAGAGTTTTCGTTTTAACTCGACTCCACTAGAAAGGCGCCATCTATTGATCAGTTCTGTAATTGTCGTAGAGTCAAACGTGGACGACGCTACGGATTTTGCCACGCTTTCTCAAAGAAATTAACAATGAAATTGTTAATAATCTTTGAATTATTTACATTTTTTGTCGTACAGACGCGTGTATTTTCTAACTTCTTCGATGAAGAATTCAAAATCTATTTGTTTCCTCGTCGTTTTTCGCTACACTTTCCGCCATTACGACAATCAAACAGCGCGTGACTACGCGTCACAAATCCTTGCGGTACGACAGAAGCGCGGAACGAAAACGGAAAAGTTAAATAATTTTTAACTCCGCTTTCGGTCTTGTTTCCGTCCAACCGAACGTTACAAAACTGAAAAGTTTCGTCAGTTTGGCTTTCGGTTTTACGATTACGTCGCGGATTCCGGTAATGCGGCGTCCAGGCTTTACTTCCGTAATGCGACCTGAAACGAAATTACGAAACGGCACGCGCAATTATTATTTTTCCGTCGGCACGATGATTAAGAAGTCGTCCGAGTCGAAAAAATCGGTCTCGATTAAAATGCCATAAATAATTTATTAATCATTAAATTGTCCGGTTCGATGGTAACTAGTTCTTCCCGGAGAGACCGGTTAAATTAGACTAAATAACGGAGGAGTCTCCCGTCCAAGTTTATAATTATAAATAAATTCATCCGTACGCAATTAATACGAAGAACAAAAAGATTGTCCGGTAGTCTTCCGGGTCTTTGATATCGTAGACGATACCTATACGTAATCGTCTTTATTATCGGAGCCCACCAGTGGCCGAGCGGTCTTCGTATCCCGAACACTGGGAGTTCGGACGGGCTGGCCACGCGGAGCTCTCCGGGCCTTCCACACATCCGTAAAGCCCAAATAGGGGCCAGTTTCCCTTAAAAAGAAATCTCGGAAGGCATCCCTCCTAGGCGGATCGCCCGAGTGTTTCGTTGCCGTAACTTAACAAACGATTTACGTAAACTCTCGGTTTAACTTACACAGTTCTATCTTCTGTCTAACACGAAGACGAAAGAAAACATGTACAAATTCCTTAAAACGTCTCGTTAAAAGGAAGAACTAATGACTTTTTTTAAACGGACTTTCGTAGATCTGATGGACGCACTATCGGACCCGAGGGCGTTTCTATCGGCCCAAGAGAAGAGGATCGCTCAGATGAAGGCGATGGGAATCGAAGAATCGGACATAATGACCAAAGAAGTGAAGACCGACGACAGGTCCTTCAGCGCCAAGAAGGAAGAAGAGAAAAAAGGTGAAAAGTCAAACTCGCTGGCAAATTTAACGGCGTTTAACCGACAAAAGTACGATTTTAGAGTTTTGTCGATGATCGGGCCGAGAAATTCGAAAAATTAAGCGACTTTTAATGGTGGAAACGGCCACTAACCGGGCATTTTTTCGCGAGGCAGACGAGTTCGTAATGGATTCGATAACGCTGGACGGACTGAAGTACGAGAAACCCTACGTGAAGATGGTGAAGAAACACCAGAAGGAGGTGGAAAGTCTGAGGAGGCGTCACAACAAGGAAAAGACGGCCATTCAGAAAAGACAGTGTTCGGCCATCGACAAGCTAGTCAAGGGATGCAAAAAGTAAGACATTATCCCCACCCTCCGCGGAGTAATTATCTGTAAGCGATGACTACGATTCTATCTAACGTCGGACATTCTGGGAACGGGACCCAGTCCGTGGCCCCCTTTAATACGTTTAGCGTCTTAAAGGGGGAGTCGGTTATTTGAACGAGTACAAAGAGGAAATGCTACCAAGTTATTTATTTCCAACGGATAACGAAGCGGGTAAAATAGGCGGTTCGGCAAACGGCCGTAATAAATGACCTGTAATAAACGCTTCCGACGGCAGGCCTTTTGCGCTTTACCCGCTTTCGGATCGTCAGGTAAACATTTCGAAAAGTCCCATTAACTTTCTCGCTGGCGCCATCTTTTACATTATTAATTATAAAATGTCAAAAAGCTTCATTTTGACGGTAGGGAAGGGTTTTATTAAAAAAAAATATAAATGCTAATAACCAGTAAACTGGCGATTACGTCCCACCCCTCGACCACCAAAATTTAACTGTATCGATCGTCTTCACAATTTTCGACAAAAAGCGCGGGGGTTATTTAATTTCAAATGGGGTAAACAAAATCGTGCCTCCCCACAAACATCCGTGCATCCAATGTTGTTGCATCGCTCGACCTTTCGGGGTCCCCAGTCCACAAAATGTCATTTTTTGGCCCACGACCACACTTTCCCTCTATTATAATATATGACGGAGCCGGGAAAGTAAAATCGATACTCGAGTGAATTTTCGGCGCCTGGCCACGAGATTAACGCGGAAGAGCGTGCGGCGGCGGAGATTTTTCGGAAAAGCGTCGAATTAGTTCCGATTATGTCCGTCGGGCGGCGCTTTACCGCCGACGCGGGAAACAGTCACGCGCCTCCGCTCGGAGCCCGGAAGCGCCGGTGCCGAATTGCTTCGGGTCCGGCGGCGGTCTAACCGGGAGGTTACGATTAATTCTAGGGACGATCTGGTAAACGATCCGCGCATTCGAGAGTTGGTCGTAGAACAGATCAGACAATGGTCGGAACTGTTAGAGAGACAGAGAAAGGAAGAGTGGGAAGTGTTGAAGAACCAAACCTCTCAACAAGGTGACTTATTAAAACGTCTTCTGGAAATTGCTCAAACGACCCAAGCTAAACAATTGGAAACGAAATTTGACAGAGAGAACAAAGACATGAAGACCAAACAGGCCAAAATATCCGTGGAGACCGCCAAAGAGGTGGCCAACGACCGAACTCTCCGCAACAAAGCCGAAAAAGAAAGGTGACTCCCCCTCCGCCCTCTCGGCCGGTAAAACCACGCGGGCTAATTATTTTCTCTTATTTTTTCGTCGAGTGCAGGCGACTGAGGGAAAAAAACAGCAACAACACCAAAAAGTTTATCGAAGAGAGGAAGTCGGCGGCCGTCAAACAGGGAAAAGAGAGAGAGAAACTGCAGAAGATACACGAGAAACAGGTCCAGGATCTGATGAAAGACACGCAAACGGTGAGACGCTACTAGCAATTTACGGAAATGCGGTAATTTTCGAAACCACCGGGCCCGCCTTTTACGCAATCCGACGCACCGGATAGGAGGGAGGAGGATCCGGCCGTCGGCCTCCTTTCTCCCCCTCCCGGTCGAGTCCGAACCGGAAACTTTTACCGTCTTTCGTCACCCGGCGGGTGGGAACGACGAAATTGCCGCGCGGTAACGATGGCGATTATTATCGATTTATGCAGAAAAACGATGAATTTTTTCGACTTTTGCAGACGATCGAGATGTACAAGAACGCGGAGATCGAGTATCGACTGGCGGCCAAAATGGAATGTTTCATCTGAAGCTGCGGTTAAGGGGCGGAAAAGAAGGAAGAAGTTTCTCTGTAGATATTATAAATAGATAGTCGAATACGAAGCATCCGTAGAATATTCCATTATTTTTATTCATCGTCCGAAGAAACAAATTTTACCTTTACAAAGAATAAATCGTCTAATTTTGTAAACTTCGTCGGCAGGCGGAAGAGACGGAAGGAAGTTTTTTTTAAAAGAAATTATCGGGTCCGAAGGATTGTAGGAGACTGTTTAGCCTTCATTAAAAAACGATTTCGTTTGTTCGATTAGCCACCGCCTCCTTTCCCATTTTTTTCAAATTCGGATGGCGGTAGTTTCGCACTTTTACCGCCTGGCGCGGATTATCCGTTACAGTCGAGATCAAAACGCGGCTTTTAATAATGGCGGATGCTCTCATATTTTTTCGCCTGCCCCTAAACTCCCCAGCGCGTACCCCGGTTCAGAATCGCTGCTATATATTAATGCCCAAACGTTAGAGACTAGGAATATAATGTTCCGACAAGCTACATTACCACTGAATTATAGGCCTAGTATAAAAAAAATTAGCAACGAGAGTTGCGTAACTTTCCCGGCTGTTATGAATTTTTATTTAAACTTTTAAATAGTAAAAATGGTTTAAAACATTTTTACTATTAAGCAAAAATAAAATTGTGCGTGGCGCCACCTGTTAAAAATTTTTATAAGAAAATTGATATTTTTTTAAATTACTATAAAATGGCAAAAAGCGTAATTTTTGAGGTTAGGGATGGGTTTTATAAGAGTTTAAATGTTAGTAAGAAACAAAATCTTCATTAAATCCCGCCTCTCTCGAGATGCGCGACTCCCTCGACCTTTCACCACTAAAATCTAACAGATTCGATGTCATATACAAGCAAACGTACTAAATCGCCATTCTTCTACCAAACGACTCCAGTCGCAACTCCTTCGGTTTGTATCGCGCTTTCTAATTGGCTAAATAAACGCGGAAGTCGTTTAGCCCGGAGCCGGAAACTTTACGAAGTCGTAACCGTTGCCGCCACCCAGCGGACTGGCAAACTAGTCGACATTCGACTTCGACTTACGTAATGACGCGAGTCGCCGTGACGTCACCAACCGCCGTCGACTTTTCGCGACCGGAGCCCGTGCTCTCTCGGTGCTGTCTACCACAAAAAAACCGAACTGCGGTCGATACGGCCACAGCTCCGGGGGAGTCGGGACGGGTGGCACTTACCCGTAGTCTATTATTATTAATTAAGGAAAATAGTTCTCTGCGTTACGTAGACGTATTTCGCTGGCTTAATAAATTACGTCGGTTACGTGACATTCGGCGTATAGGATAATTGGAAGTGGCGATTATTTCGTTTTGGATTTCCCGTATTCCGTTATAGATCGACGGGCTCGTATTTGGGAAGAAAATTTTAATATAAAGCCGACCATCGAGAGATTGCGGTATTTTAAAAGAGGCGTTTAAAACCTTACTTAGAAGAATTTTAAGTACAAAAAATAACTTTGTCTACTTAATTAGAATTACTTTTTACTATTAAAACTTACCGTGTCCGAAAGCTTCCTCCTTTCCTCACTCACCGGAATAAAAACGCCTGTAAGATACTTCCCGAAAGCGCGAGTGTCGACGTTCGTTGGCGTAAACACAAAGGTCTTGGGGTACCGTAAAAATACATTGTCGGCAGTATTTACTGCCGTTATATATATATATATTTTTAGTAATTAAGGAGAAAAGTGAAGTGATTTTGACGTTTACCTTGCTGTAGAGGGGGTGCACGTGACGTCACACGACTCCGATTTCGATCTGTCTAACTAGTATTTTTTAACATTAATTTCGATTTATTACAGTTCATTGCGTAGTATTTGGTTGCGATTTCATAAAATCCTCCGTGTTCCTTCAGAATGGATACGGTGACACACACAATTAACTTTTGATCTAAAGGTTACAAATAAAATGTTTGTTTAAATATTAAGTAAGGATTTTACTTAATATTTAAACAAACTGAAGTAAAAGGGGCAACGAAAAGATAAACTTACCTTAATATCTCTTTAATACCCGGACTTAATGTTTTAAAGGCAAATTAGTTAAATAGAACAGTAATGTTTATGAAGAAAATAATATGCATTTAGATATTCTCAGACTGTTACGGTACGAAAGAACATATTAGAATGAATTACAAGGACTGATGATGGAAATGCTGTCTCGTAAAGTTGCTTTCTTGTTATAAATTTTGCTGTCTACTGCTCCCCATTTTTCGCTACTTCGAGTGCTTGTGTATGTGAGCAAAACTTATTGCGAAATTATTTTTTATTTAAAGGAAAACTAACAAAACTGTATGATTTAGAATCTCCAGATTGGGACCCAACAATAAACACGGGGGAAAGTAGCGGATCGTAGAAAGAGCGCGACAAGAACGATACGAAATTGCTACGAAAAGAAGAAAAAGGTCTGTGTCCGAAATGCATTCTACTAAAAATCTGTGGTTAATTAAAGTCTATTTTGCTCCAGTCAGTCTTCGACCTGATAAGATTTCCAATTTATTACAGCCATATTTAGACTAATTAATTCGATCTGAATAATAGGTTATTAGAAACTTGCACAAAACCACGGTGCCAAAAGAAAAAGTTTGATAGTAATCATAAATACAATTTAGTGAAATGCGACTAAATATAAAATGACATTCGTCTTTACGTAACGCAGTTTATGTTATGAGTAATGGAAAGTCTCTCGCGAAGATAATTTTGCTTATAGGAAAAGTACGTAATTCGTTACGAACGGCTCTCGATAAAATATCACGACGAATAAATCCGCTTGTCAAATAATTATGAGCATCGAGTGATTTCTATGCCTTCGTCTGACCGGTGTGACAGCGTTAGTCGTCAGAACCAAATAATTTACCGTGTCTCTATGCTCTATAGTGGGCCGTGGTTAAAATCGTTGGTTTCATTTCATACGGGTCCCATCCGATAAAACATAAAGAGAATTTAACCTTCAAATCGGCTGCGTAGCCAGATAAGATTTTTCTTCCTTCCACGTTGACATAATAGAGTGAACGAACAAAGTAACGTGAAATGAGCAACCAATATGGCGAACGTTTTGTTGGGCGGAGCGCTGCCCCTTCGCCAGTTTGTCATCTAGCTTCCGCTCGCTTAGCTTGCGCCTGGTTTGTTATTTGACGGGTCGGGAGCGCTTTTTTCAATTTAAACTTATAAAAATACGGCAGTTCTATTAACACGGACAAAGTTAAAAAAGACGCTTTTCTGGCGGGTTATTTTCGCAGTCTGACAGCACCAGATGCTACTTTATGCCAAGAGAAACTTTCATCAAGTCAAAAAAAAACCTAACTTAGCTATTTATAAGAGAACAATGACAATTATTGGTTTATATATTAAAAATACACACTTATTTATGTAAATTACACTGGAAGGAAAATCAATTCAAAATTCATTTCTAATTCTCCATCCGCTAAGCGATTACCTTTTCGCTTAAAGTTTAGTTCACACTGAGCGCGATTCGCTGGCGAAAGCGAAAAACACGTCGTTGTTTCCGGCGAATTTTACCATTTCGCGAATCGCTTCGAAGTTCGGAACAGTCGAGCTTTTTCGCTAGCGAAAAAATTTCGCCACCAATCATATTCCCGTTAGTTGTCACGTGGTTCTTGTTGTTTTCGAGATAGCTATAGAAACTTTCTCACACGAGTAAATATTGTAATTACGGATTTTTAACTTTCCTCTCATCCAGTATCTTTTTTTACGTATCTTTCTCAATAAACAAACAAACGTGGTTAACGACGGAATATCGGAAGCGGCCATTTTGTTTTTCGAGACGACGTTTTCTCTCGCATGCAAATGATTGGCTGCTTAAAATTCGCAACCGCTTTTCGCTTTTAGTTGTAGGGGTCAATTTCGCTAAGCGAATAAAAATCCATTTTCGCTTTCGCTCAGTGTGAACTAAGCTTAACGCTTTAATAATATCTCTACTGTATATTTATTACAAGCAGAGTTACAAAACAAGCCGACAGGTGAAAATGATTGGATAGATAAACTAAAATCTGCGGTTGTGAAAATTATTTAACTTTACTCTGTCGGTATTAACAAAAGGATTTATGCAACCGACTCGTACACACTTTATGATACTCAATAAATGATAAACTTTTGCGTGATAACTAGTAATCTAATTACATGTTATTGCTTACCTGAAATGAAATGTTTCTGACAAACTCTTGTCTTGATACACTATCCGTATTGAAATTTTTCCGGTTAATTCTTCGGCGTCGTGCAAACACCTTCCCGGCGAAAGCTCCGGGGTTTGAGGTCCTGGATGACAAATAATGCCGGGAATTTTAAAAAATGACGTTCCTTCGTTTCCGAGTGAACTAGCATTACTCCCAATTACGCAACAATTCACCACGATCTTCGCGAAGAATAAACGACACAAGAATTCCAGCTAAAGCGCGAGTAAACGCAAATAAACGTAAACAAACCAGAAAGATGGCGCCGGACAGTGGCGCATGCTCACGTCACCGGTGATTATAATAACTAAAAGTAGAGATAGTCTATGGAAGTGTGTCTATGGGAAGAATCGAGTGGTTTAAACAAAGGAAGATACCGAAGTAACTTGCCACAACTAAGCGACGGACGGCCGACGCTCATTAGTTAATACCAAGTCGATTCTTTCCACAGACAGGCTAATCTAATCTAACGTTTTCGACTTATTGTAATTTTAATCGATTCGATCAAATAGTAATCGCATCAATTCCGTGTATTGTACTTTCTTTTTAGTGTTTTAAATCGAAAAATCCTTCGCTATAACCCGACTTAAAGAAAAGTACAATATACCGATACAATTTCGAATATCGAAACACAACGTTACTCTAGCGCGCCTTTCGTACCTCCCCTTTTTGTTCCAAATGATTTCGCGAAGAAATCCAATCATCAAAATAATAAAAATGCCAATGATTTTAACCCATTTAGGCAGACTATTTTTCGAGAGAAAAATTCCGACAGAACATTTTTATACACGTAAAAGAAATAATAAATAAGAGTTATTTCTATTTTGTCGTTTCCTTTATACGACTTCTTTCCCCATTTTGCCGTTTGCTTACAAGTAACGGGAGAAATAGTATAACTTACGGTAATACGTACTGTACATATCAATAGTATTTAAATAAAAATAAATAAATCAGAACTTTTCGGTAGTCTTCGGGCCAGACGCTGGGTAAAAGGTAACTATTTGTAAGGCCAGAAAATAATTCCACGTATGCCCGGCTAGCAGACGACGTTTTGCCACTTAATCGCATCGCCGCCACCTAACGGCCAAAGTACAGACTACGCGAAAATTCGGCCGGAAATTGCGTGGCGTCGTTTACGAGACTCCTTTCGTATCATTATAGGAATTATGATTTTGAAAATGCGCTTCTCGGATCTACGTATTTGTTTAAGCGTCTTTTCCAACAGATTTACCATTTTGCCCCGAGGATTGTCGTTTCGGCAAATCGATCGCCCGAAAAAAATTTTGCGGACGTTATATCATCGTACGATCGTCCGTCTGAGGGGTCGAAGGGTTTCCCGAAAATTACATTCCGTTTGCCAACTGCCGGGCGGAAAACCACCGTCCGTTTCGACAGCCCCGGTTAGGAGGAAGATTAAAAGGAAACGAGGTCGGATTTGTTACAAAACTTTATTGTGTGTTGCCGTTTCGAAAGATCCAAAACGGGGCATTACAAATGGAAAATTTTCCGTTCGCAAATTTCACGCGCTATTTCAAATAACCACCTCCATCCACAGACGGCCAACGATTCCTTTAACCAATTACCTTTCCCGATAATCGTAAAAAAAGTGTAGAACGTTTCGAAAATCCCGACAAGTGGACTATTTTCTAAGCTCGTTCCGTGCCGAAATATATTAGGTGCGCTGCACGATTCTATTAATACGTTCGCGTTTATAAAAATTCCTCGTACCACCGACGAAGAGAAGCTGCCCCGCAGCTCCGCTGAAAGACGATTTGTTAATTATTATTATTACTATTATATTAAAATTTCTATAATTATACCTGCCTTATTCGAAAACTGACAAAAATATATTCGTCCCTACAAAAAGTTTTATTCCTTTCTCGGATCCTAACTCTTCTACAACGACCGACACCGATTAAGTACACTTTCCAACGTCGAAAAATCTAATTTCGCGGTTTTTTCAGCACGGAGTTCGTCGACGATTAACTTTAACGAACGGCGTAATATAATGCAAAACACGTGGCAAAATATAAAACCACCGGGTACTTAAAACTGTAAAAATGGAGACGAAGACAAAAATAACGAGATTAAAAATCACACGCGATCACCGGTTTCCATTAAACGAAGTGAGAGGAGTTATTTCTTGGCGTTGGCGAGAGAATTAAGGAATTTCACGAAATGGGAAAACGTTTTGTCGACGATCTGTGCGTTTTTCTTCCAACTTAATTGTGGAGCCGTGCAAAATTTAAACGGAGGAATTTCCCGTCGAGTCTCCCGCCAGAAGACAAAACCGGAGCACTCCGACCGGCGAAAATTCTAAGTATTTATTCAACGGACGTGTTAAAATATAATAAACTTGTAATTTGAGAAATAAATAAATACTGCGGACGAAAGACTACCAGGCTAAATAAATCAAAACGGTTGGAAAGTATTGTTGACCGATCGAAAACTACGGTGCAGGCACCGGAAATGGGCGGAAAAACGCAGAATCGAACCTACGAACATATGTAAAATTTTGTGACGGAGCGATTCTATATTTTTATCCGAGAAGTTACAATGGACCGGCAGTGGAAGATGTAAAACTAGACGGACGGTGGGTGCAACGGGGAGTGGATTAAAACCACCTCTCGAAAGAGACGATGACTAGGATTAAGAGGTCGGAAAAAAACGATAAAAGTCGAGTCTCCGAACGCGCGTCGTAGACGAAACGAGTTCGAACGGCGTATACGTAACGTGGGTAAAACGAAAGGGGTTTACGATGCCGACGGTCGTTAATGTATACTGTCACACCTAACGAAGATTTTAACATTGAGAGAGTAACGAACGACTGGCGACAGTCGGAACGATCCGTGATTCTTCTCCTTACAGTGTCTTTGCACGCTGAAGAAGTTCGCCCACGAACCTCTGAAATAGAAAACAAGTCATTAATTCAAAAATCTAGCGACGAGTTGCGTAACTTTCCCGGCTGTCATATGTTTTTTAAATAAGTCAATTATTAAGCAAAAATAAAATTGTTACCCCATCTGTTATCACATTTTGCTATAAAAACTTTTTGTACGTTTTATAGAATGGCAAAACGCTTAATTTTGAGAGTAGGGACGAGTTTTATGAAAGTGTAAATGTTAATAACGAATCAAATCCTACCCCTCTCGACCTTTTATCATCAAGATTTAATAGCATCTATAACCCTCACGTATGCAAGGCACACACGCGGAATTTCTTCGCCTTTTTTGGGTTCGGGGATCTGAAAACGTGGAGATTTGCAAAAAACCTCGGAAGGGTCGTGTTTGACACGATTTCAATACAGTAGACTCCTCTATAAAACGGGTTCATATAATGCGGATTCGTATATCGCGGCGAAAAAATTGCGAGCGTACTCGTATAAAGACGCTAAAAGAAACATGTAAAATGCGGTATAACGTCATCGTGTAGCGAATCTAGACCAATAGCGGATATTGAGCAGCGGACCTACTAAAAACCATTTATTATTTAACGTCCATAAAAATTATATTTATATTAATGATGTCTCCAAAGTTCAGCGAATTTTTCGCAAAAAAAATAATTTATCAGGAAGCACGCGAGCGCCATTCGATGAGAAGCTCCACGACGAAAACGAGCTTAAGCAATGGCGTAGTCGATCGGTGCACGCTCGGTAAGTAATCCTACAATTTTTTGCTTATAGCATAGTTTATATGGATTATTCCCAAAAAATTATACGTATTTTGGAAATGTTAAGTCGAATTAGTCTAGAATCGATTAATTTTATGGAAGAAAACCTTTCGAACAGCCGTAGTCCGTAAACTTCACACGTGCCGGGCTGTGATTGGCTCATGTATTTAAGGACTCGTAGAACATGAATTTCATAAAAGGTGGAACGTATCTACCGCATTATAGTGGGGTGGACTGTACTTTCCCTAGTTATGTTATACATAACAGCTGGGAAAGTAAAATGCATTTAAAAAGAACTCTTTTTGGTCTTTGTACTTTGAGTGAAGTTAATTTATGGGAAACGAACAGATCTACGAATCGGCTTTCGACATCGATTGTAATTTTCTAAATTAAACTAGCAAAATATTTTCGCATAAAAATCGGCAATAATTGAACGTTGGCAACAATCTGCAATGTGATAAAAAATATTAACTATCCGAGGCAGAGCCATCTGCTTACCATTGTTTCTTTCATACGTATTGTTTTAAGTGATTTTCCGTATTGTTTTATTTTAACGAATACCGAGTAAATTTGTGCTCTGCCGTAAATAAAGCATTTACAATTGGCAGATAAAATGTTAAAACGTGTTTAAAATGCAGTGGGTAATCGGTTAACGTCGGACTGCGAACAAATCGAACAACGAACACTTTCGCGAAAGATTTTTATGTTCGGATAACGAACACCTGACAAAACAAACACAAGAGACGTTGCATTTAAGACTTGTAAAACTATATTTTAATGGCATCTATAGGCCTACATGGTTTATCGAACGAGACTTTCATAGTTGTATACATAACCTTTTGCACTAATTAATTTCTGTTCTCTGAATTTTTGTAAGTGCTTTTCTGAACTTTTATTTAAAAAACTGATAATATTATGGGGCCTAAAAAGAGTGGAGTGTCAGGAATTGTGTTCACTATAGAAACTTAGCTACAAATAATAGCCAAGGTAGAGTGGGCAGATGTCTGATATTGTGGGCTGACGACTTCAACAGGTCTATAGTAAATACAATCTTAGAGCTAAGAAAGATAAAATCAAAAAGACTTGAGCAGATAAAGGAGTAACAAAAACTCACATCTGACAAAGATGTGCAATCCACGAAAAAATGAAGAGATTGCTTTTAGTTTGTAATTACATGTAAATAAACATTGTAAGAAAGTATATAATTTTTTTATTTATTTTTTGGGATCTGCAGAACGAATTATAATCAAATTCCCATAAAAATCTATAATAAATCAATAATCGGTTAATGAACAATTCAGATAGCTAAAGTGGTCATAAAATGGATTATGTTCATTAACTGACCACCCACTGCATTTTATTAGTGATTTTACTAGAATGGAAAATATTTTAGTCTTGTGAATATGAGAGAAAAATTGCCTTACTGCATAGTGCGTGCTACCTCGGAGGCAGAGAAGTGCAGTCGGTGCTCTCTGGTCAAATCTGGCAGCATAAATACTTCGTTTTGACTGTTTGCAAAAAGACAAATTTGTGTAGAACCAATCTGCTGCACATTTGGACTTTTTTTTTGTTAATTCTTTCCACCCTGTAGGTACTAAGAGCATGCACATTATGGGTTTGGCCAAGCCCACAATGGGGCAACGGGGTGGTGAGGAGCAGGGCCAGACACATCCGAACAAACCAACCCCAAAAAATTCCTGGAGATTTTTTGACCCGACCGAATTCAAACCTGGGTCCTCCAGAATGGTAGGTTGCCAACTTAACAGCTCAGCCATCAGGTCTCATACATCCAAACTGGAATATTTTGCTGTGCAATGTTCAAAACTGGATGAATGTTATGCCGTCAACGTAACTGGCTTCTAAAATTGGCGGACGTGGCTCGCGAAAAACATTTTCCCAGATTTGACGGGGACCGATGCCACGTTTGACTTACTACTGTATTATTATTACTATTATGTTGGGTTTAGTGGGTTATACTGGGTTCACACTGTTGGCTGTGTACTATGCTGGACCAGAGTCAAGGCATAGCAACCAAAACAAAACTAAAATTAGTGTGTCAGTGTCAGTATTCAGGAATTTCCTAACACTACGGCATGTACAGTACCTGTACTCAATATAGTGGCCTTCTGTAGTGTTATGTATGCATTTCTATTCAATTGTAATGTTCCCAGACTTTTGTGTAGTGTGTGTGTGGTATCACACCTGTACAGGAGAGAACAACATGTACAATAAGCACCCTATCCATCCTCCACAGATGCCTTATTTTCTGGGTGACTTTTGTGTACTTGCTGATTTTTTCAGTGCATGTGTTTTGTACATTGTGAGTGTTTGGAATGGCTATGTCTATAATGTATGTGATTTTATTGTGTTTGTCAATGAGTGTGATGTCTGGTCTGTTGTGGTAAATTGTTTTATCTGTGATTATGGCTCTGTCGTAGTACATTTTGTGCGTGTTGTTTTCCAATACTGTCTGTGGAATATACTTGTAGTATGGTTCGTGGATGTCTGCCAATTTGTGTTTCTTTGCAAGCTCTTGGTGTATTATATTTGCTACTTGATTGTGTCTATGTAAGTAATCTGTCTGTGCCAAGAGCTTGCAACCAGAAGTGATGTGTTGTATAGTTTCTGGCATGATGTGACATTTTCTGCATGTGTCATTTGTGAGTGTTGTATCTTTGAGTATGTGTTTTCTGTAGTTTTTAGTATTTATGACCTGATCCTGTATGGCAATCATGAATCCTTCTGTCTCTCCAAAGAGACATCCCCAATCTAACCAGCTGTTTGACGCAGCTTTGTCAACAAAATCCTGGGCCAAGTCATAAGGATGCCTGCCATGGAGTGCCTTTCGAGCCCAAAATTGCTTAATGGTGTCTATACTTTTGGTGTGTTGTGTCAAGTCTGTACGTTGCGAGTGTAAGTTTAATGGCGTGTTATTTAGTCTGCTAGAGTTACTGCTTTATGTAATTGTGATGTTTCTTGTAGAAAAACTCTCGCAGTGACTGTATTTGTTTGTAGTGAAGGTTAACTATGTCAATCAGGCCACGTCCGCCTTCTTGGAAGGGTTAATCTTTCTGTTGCGGAGTTAGGATGATGTTGTTTATGCTTAGTAAGTGTTGTTCTTGTTTTCTTTTGGAGTTGCTCGAGATCTGTGCGAGTCTAATGTATAACTCCAAAAGAGTATGTGAGTACTGAGACAACATACGTGTTTATTACTTTATGTGTTTTGTATTTAAATGTGTTCTGAGAATAGCATTTAACCTATTTTGGTATTCTTTAATTAATCTTTGCTTTATTTGTGTATGTTCTGTTAGTTTGTCCTGCTGGAATCCTAAATACTTTAGAACTCATCCTCTTCCATGGATTCAATAATGTCCCCATTTCCAAGTGAAAAATCTTCTTTCTTCAGAATTCCTTTTTCTATGTGAAGTGTTTTGCATTTGTCTAAGCCAAACTCCATTTGTATGTCCTTGGTGTATGAATGTGTGATTTGTAGGAGCTGCTGAATTTGTTTTTGTGTGGATGCATAAAGTTTTATGTCATCCATGTACATGAGATGTGACAGAGTAAACTGTTGTTTTTTCATATCTAATATTGTAGCCATATTGCATGTTGTTTAACATGTTGGATAATCAGTTCAAGGCTAGACAGAACCAAAGAGGACTCAAGGAATCTCTTTGAAAAATTCCTCACCTAATGAATATTTTGTTTATTTGTATGGAAGTTACTAACCCTGAGATGCAGTGTTGTTCTCCAGTGCTGAGTGTTATGGAAGAATGCAATGAGTGATGGATGTATTTTGTACATGTGTAGAATATGTAGCAGCCAACTGTGTGGAACACTGTCAAATGCTTTTCTGTAGTCTATATATGCCACGCGTATGTTTCTGTGTTGTTTGTGTGCTTGTCGTAGAATGACTGAATCTATGAGTAACTGTTCTTTGCATCCCCTGTGATTTCTACGGCAATCTTTTTGTTGTTTTGTAAGAATGTCGTGTTCTTCAACCTGTTTGTATATTTTGTTTGCAATACAGGATGTCAATAATTTGTAGTGTTGGGAGACATGTAATTGGTCTGTATTATGTGGGGTCTGTGGTGGTGTTGTTTTTAGGTTTCATGTAGGTGATGCCCTGAGTAAGAAATTTTGGCATGTCTTGTGGGTTGATGATGATAATGTTTGTTAGATGTTTAGCTAGTTCCTGGTGCAGTGATGTAAACTTTTTGTACCAAAAATTGTGAATGTTGTCTACACCAGGTGTCTTCCAGTTGTATGTTCTGTTCACAGCATAGTGGATGTTGTGTACGTTTATTTCAGCACAGGACCTAATTGGTATGTTGTGCAAGTTTCTGTTCTCCTCTTCAATCTAGCCTGCATCAGCATTGTGTGTAACAGCATTGGACCAAAGAGAAGACCAATAAGTTGTGAGTTCTTCTTCTGTTGGTGTGCCACTGTGCTGTGTATGTGTTTGTTTTGGTACTGATTTGTCTGTAGAAAAGTTTTTCATTGTTTGTGAATAATTTATTTTGTTGTTTTCGTAGTGTACATGTTTTGTATCGTTTGAGTCTACGTGCTTTGGCTGCGAGTTTTTGTTTTAGTGTATCGATGTATTCTGTAATGTGTGTGTTGTGATGTTCATGTTTTGTGTGTGTTTTAATTTTCTTGAAAATGTTTTTGAGTTGTTTCTTTAATTTGGGTGTTATGTTGTTTTTAGTGTAT